TCAGTGGGATACATATCAGAGCTTGAAATTCCAAGTCCCATTATACTCTGACAGTGTGACGGGTGGGCAGGCTTCCTGACATCATGGACACTGGCAGATGGTGGGTATTTAATTGAAAAAGTCCTTTAGCGCTGCATAGGTTAAATTCTTAGGGAATTGCTCTTTATTATTAAGCCACAATATTGGCCTTTTCCAACAAAGGAAATAAAATGTGCTAAGGATAACCTTCTTGTCTGTGGAATCACACTAATGCATTAGTAGGATTCTGTGGTTTTACCTACTGAATTAAAAATGGTAACGCTACTTGGTTTTGTGGCTATCTTCTATAGAACAAAAACTGTATTGTATGTTTTTAAAAGATTATGGTCTCTAAATTAAAGAATTCAATGAGTCCTGGTTCCTAAAGGTTTCATGTAGAAAACAATGATAATGGATAACATTCATAGAACATATACTAAATATTCAAAATGCTGAACAAACCATATTCTCATTAATAATAGCTGAGAAGTATAATAGTTTGATGATTAATTAACATATTGCTAATACAGATAATTTAAAGTTTGTATTTTAATTTTTCACAGTCATTAAAAGTCCCCATGTTCTAAAAGTCAAGCCATAATGATGATATTCTCATTGTGTAGTTTTTCTTCACTGGGATTTAATAACTAGATAAAATAAATGAACTAAAGCCTTCAGCTTCTACAAACGGAAGATTAATTCCTAGGAAATATTATGAACTCCAAATACATTATTATGTAATGGTTAAAATGGATCACCTCACTAGTGGTGCACACATTTGAATCAAGGCTTTTTAGTATAATCACACAACATATTGGTTTCATTATATTAATGCCAGTTAGCATAGTGATAAGTAATTCTAAATCCTTTAAGCCCTTCACTCCTTTTGCTATATGATACTCAGAAAGAGAGAAAAATTAGAGTACTACTCAAATTACTTTCTAAGTTCAGTGGTGTCCACGAGCCTTCTCCTCTTATGGCATTTCAGCATTGATGTGAGAACATATCGTCCCATGAAAATTTAATTTGAAAATCCATCAGTTAGATTTTGAAAGACATGCATGGAAATTCTTGACTTATGTCTCATTTCTCTCATTTTGCCAAGTGATAAAACCTCGCATATTATACCCCAAGTCATACATTATTACATAGTGCAGGTTTACAAAAACCACTAAATCACTTGCTATGTTATTCAGGGAAATACCATTATAGCAGAACCGAAACAAGCCACGGAGTAGAAGATGTGTTACTGAAATAAATCACACACAAGCCTGCCTTTTGAAAGATTTTTTTCCCCATGGTGGAATCAAAATATGTCTAAAGGAAGCTGAAGGACAGAGTGTGACAGAATGTCTGTTTGACACGATAGGATGGGCAATTTGACTGTTTGCTAATGTTGATCACTCTCTAATGAGACTAAAGGCAGAACATAAGCAGATTATAGTTAGCTCCCAGCCTCGGAGCCAGCCGCATTTAGAGTCACACAGTTAGGAAAAGCCAGGCAGCAATACAGACAGAAATCCTAGAGAACTGAGCAATCGTGGGTCACAAATTTAATTCTTTCTAAAACTTTTGGATCTCATGAGATTATATTGTTGATTTAAAGGAATATGTAATTAAATGTCAAAAAACATAAAAAAAGGAAGTTTGGAAATGTGGGATATATGAACAAAGACGTTTACATGAGTTAAGCTGCTCTTAAGAGCATGGTTAAAGGGGGCTTTGCTTGTATCAGATTTCCAAAGCTCTAAACAAAAAATCTCCCCTGCCCCATCTATATAGCAACAGAGTGGTATTTCCCTAGGTCTTTTGCCACTTGAGATATCAGTTTTCTAATAATTGTGACGAGCCATTGAAGTACACAGCTGGTTGGAATGTTGTTACTTGGCTTAAATTAAAATGCAAAACAATGCTGCCATTTCCATTTCAAAAAATGACTGAAAGTGGAGATTCAAGGAATTAGAAAAAGCAGTAATCAAAGAGAAAATTGGATTGGTATGCTTTATTTACAAGGATAGAAAAGATTGCTGCAATGTCCTTTATTAAAGTAACATTTTCTCTTCTCTAGTAACAGAGTTGATACATAACATAGTTGTTGCAGAAATTCTTTCTAAAACTGTGGGACCAAAGGCAACATCACTATTCTACATTCTACTCTATGGTAGCAAGTCTGCTGTTATGCAAAAGGGGCAACTTGAGGATTCTCTTTTACAAACTCTAATTCTTGTCTGTTTCACATAGGTGCGTGCTAGTGCAATTGCCCAAGATGCTGATCAGAATTACGACTATGCCAGTAACAGTGTGGTCCTTCACCTGGAACCAGGAGATGAAGTCTATATCAAATTAGATGGTGGGAAAGCCCATGGAGGAAACAACAACAAATACAGCACATTTTCTGGATTTATTATTTATGCTGACTGATAATGCAGAAACTGAGCTTGCTGTTCTGAGTTTGGACGCTGGATTCGTATGGCTAACGTCAGTGAATCAAGGATCCCAGGGGATGCCGATTGCAGGGCATCTCGGCTGTGTAAATGTGGGGAGATCAAATGCTACCTGACTCACATCTGTATCACTCACACACATTATGTAAAAAAGTATTTAAGGCAAGATAAGCAGATGTGTGATCCACTACCGCCAAAGCAAATATTCCTTATTGTTAGTGTCCGTGTGAATGAAGTCCTATATAGACCACAAATTTTTATAGAAAAATCTAAGACACTGAATTATTTCTTCAATATCTCTAATACTTTGGTGTACTGTGATCTTGCTGCTTTTACCCATGTGTCAGCTTTGGTTCTTGTGAGTTTACCTGCTTATTAAGATACCTGGCGTCTATCTGTAGTGTGGGGAGGAGTCATTTTACCCTGCAGGAGAAGGTCTCATTGAAGTAATGCTGCTTGTCCCCAAAGATATTGTTTGCCTTGTACTCTCGTTAACTTTAGAGTTAGACCTGGGAATGATTCAACTTCAAGCCTTAACCTGGAATTTTCTGGATTTGTGGGAATTCCCAAGCTTGTGATCATTTTCACAGTTTTTCTTTTCATGTGAATTTTCTTTTTTCTCTCTTCTGGTGATAGTCTTAAGAAAATAGAGATTGAAATTGTATCATAGGATTACCCTCTAAGTGTGAAAATGTGTAGTTATGTATGGTACTTAGAAAATTCCACGTGTCCATTTCGTCGCTAGGATACATTTAGACTCACTTGGACAGTCACAGAAATTTATTCTTTGGTATGAAGTCAGATAGAGGCTTTTGCCTTCTCTGGAACAAAGGATTGTTCGTAACCTAAGGCATCAAGGTTTGATTTGAGCTGCTGCATGCGTCATCAAGGGGACAGTAAGTAAGGCCTCAAACAGTTAGTGAAAAATCTGTGGCCTGAGGTTATTTCAAAATTAACAGTTTCACATAGAACCAACATGACAGCAAAGTGTATATATTTTATATAAATATCTGTCACACACTTATTTATATACATATATGTTAGATGAAATATTATATATACATTGCTTCAGTCCACTAGGTACAGTGGCTGTACAGCTCAAAAAGCTAATTTAAAAAGTATATATGTATACACACAGAACCATGCACAAATTATTTGACTTATTTTAGATCGAACTATATTTTAGATGATACAAATATATAGAGTAGCAAAATAATAAAAGTGAGTTCTCTTTAAGAGTTATCCAGAAAATGAAATCTCAGTAGATTCAAATGCCCCCCCCCCATGACAAATGTGTGAGTTAGTTGATCCCATGATTACTGGATTCCATGTGCAATCGATATTTTAATGGCCGTCTCTGGCAGGCCATTAATAAGGGACTTCAGGAAGCAAGCAGAGCTCCTTCACGATGTTTATGGAACACATGCATGTGAGCGGTCAGTTCTTTTCTTTCTGGAGGATTGTAGAGCAAACCCATCCTCTCTAGTTAAAACACACTGCCAAGCGCTAGCTCTTATCTAAGGAAAAGATCAAAATGCATGAGAATACTTCCTCCTAGCACACAACTTCCCCTGTAACATGGAAAATCTGTTTCCCTTTTCATTGCCTTTAAACACTCTTTGACAAGTAGATTTCAAACCCAGAGATTTGAAAGTCTGCTTGCTTTCCTGGTGAAGGACATTTACATTTTTCCCTTTGAAGGAATTGGGTTGCTCCCCTGACTCATTTCACTTCAGCACTTTTTGTTCTAATCCACAGAGCGCTTGGTCAACTATGATCAACCGAAATCGCTTTAGTTTAGCAAATCTCAACTTTCCAAGAGATATGCATGGTGTTCCCATCTAAAGGTGGTGTTTGCTGTGTTTAAATGCCTTGGTCTGAGTAACTGTCATGATTTATATGATTAAAACAAACCACTTAGATCACTCATCGAGAGTAGTGACTAATTCGATTTGGCCCTTCTAATATGTATGGTAACTCACAAATGACTTGCCACAGTTTTAATTTCTATTTAACAGCATATATTTATCAAAGATGGATTGGCGGCAAGGAATTAGATTTGTCTTAGGTATCAAATCATATAGCGAGGATTCAAGGGATAACTTACACACAACAGTGTACATCAATTAAACTTTTTAACTAACATTTTGAAAGGCTTCCTTTGCAAAGAACTTCATAGCTGGAGCTCTTCTAAAGAGGAGTATTTACAAACAGACTGTCATTTCCAATAGACCTGACCTTTTCTTAGATAAATAAGCATTATTTTCTCTGTTTAGGCCTGAGGAAAAAGAAATAAAAAGTAAATGAAATAAAGGGACTATATCTAAGGCAAGCATTTCTCTTTTTCTTTGCATTATACCTTATGAATTGATTAAATCGTGGCCTTTGTTATTATTACTGTAATGATCCATTAAACTATATTATGTAATATATTTTTATTTTTATGATTTCATTTTTATAACGCATTGTGGTTATGCATCCTCAGACAGACTTTGCAAAACACAACACAATTAACAGCAAAAATGGAGACGGGAAAGCCAGAGTCAGCAAAACTGATTTATTATAAGTTTACATAGATAGATGGAAAACACAGTTAACTTTTCAAAAATATTTTTATTGTTGTAAACTGGTAATTTTCTTGCCATCTCCTTTGGGAAAGAGAGCCTCAGAATTTAACTTCCCTTGTTGCAAAAGTGATTTTAAAATGCCATATTATTCATTAAGCATTAATTAAAGAACAGCATGATAATTAGTAGGATCATCAATATTACAAGAAACATTAGATTGCTCCAGAAGGGGGCAACTTAACTAGAAACACTTTAATTTTTCTCAAGTAGTGTAGTGAGAGTCGGGGGGGGGGGGGAGACATCCACAATGACTCTTGGGAACATAGTCTTTTGTATTTGTTTTATTAAGGTAAAGCAATAGGACTCACTTGAGCCCTGTAGCCCCCACCAAAGCTTTCCCTGTGATAGGTATCCAGTTTCTCATAGGAGGGAAGTGATCAATCACTGGTCCCATAGAGCTTGGATTAACGTCTCAGAGTAGATTTGAAATCACCGAATATCCACTGCAAATCTTACCCCGGAGGTCTGTGTTCAGAAACAGCCATCCTATTTAAAAGTTAGCCATCGCCTAGGGTTTTCTATGAGGATCTTATCGACAGCCCTCTCAGCTACTCCTCTAAGGAGCATCTTAGGAACAATGTTGGTGAGAATATGTGAGTAGCCATGACCTCCATACTTCATCAGTCGGTGCTTCGTGTGTATGTCATGTGCCATGAGAATCCGATCTTCATAGCCCTCATCCACCAGGAAGCGGACCCTAGGAAAAATACGTTAACTTGTGACAGGCCACCAGGCTCACATCTCAGACGCTAACCTTTCACTCCGGAACACACTGTGCTCGTAAAGATTCTGCCTTTCGCTGCGGCATATGGACCAGGAGATTTCTAAATGAACACTGCGTGGCGAAGATGCAGGTGTTACTTCACGCCAACATGAATGAGATCCTCATTCTGAGCACACAGCCATTTCTACCCAATGAGATTTCTGACAGTGTCTGGCAATGCTGCGCTGAAGACAGCTTACAGTGGTCAGGCCGTTTGAATGAATGGCCACAAAAGCAGTTCATTGAATAATTTTATATTCAGCTCTCCTCCCTCAAATGCTTGTCTTAGTCTCAATTCTGAAATACCATTCTCTCTCTCCCCTTTTAAAGCCAGTGGGCGTTTGTGATTGAAATAGAAAAACAAAAGGATTCTTCATGTGAATAAAATCCTGCGAGTAAGATCAGCTGATTGTCAAGTGCAAGGCCCGTGCCATGTGGTTATGCAGTCAATGCAGATGGGCTGGCCAAGTCCTCTGTATTTGAGCCATCTGGTCCTCTGAACACAGGAATTCTGACTTAGTGGTAGCCTCTGAGCGTTAGCAGAAACTGACCTAAAGTTTTTTAGTCTATCTTCCTTGTCAACAAGGAAGCTAAAATAACAAGCTGCCCCTTTAAATCCATAGTCGGTTGACTAAAAGACAGCTTCCTGGCTGTAAAAAATAAATAATAAAATAAAAGTAATCCTCTTTGCCTAGTTAAGAGCTGCAATCTGAAGCATGAGTCACCCCCTGACAGCCACCATCTGTACGTGTCTGCACTCTGGGCAGTGTCTGTCCCCAACTGCCGTGGGCCTTTGACGTCAGAGGTGCAACTTGTGAACAATGGCTTTTCTCTGGGATTCTGTGCAGGCTTGTGAGGATCGCCTATCAAATGGATGTAGGTGGATGGATCTCGCTCTTCCTCTGGGGCTTGGCTGAAAACTCTTGTTTTGGTGGCTAGATAGGATCATTTCTTGGCTTTCTCAGGCATGAGTCCTGTTTAATAACTACTGTGGTACCCAAGGGACACTACACACAAAAATCCATGGCACAAAAGCCTGCCCTCGGAGAACCTTTAAAATAAGTTACAATTGAATACTAGACCTATCTGAAGGTCAAAGGAATGTAGGCACCATAGTGAAGAACCAGTCTGGGTACTCAGGGAAGAAACCAGCATTCAGCAGGCACAACCCGTAATCTCATTTAGGCCACTAACGCTATTTGGCTTGCTAAAATTGGTCCTGAAGTCCTGATCTGCAGGTACTTTTTGAAAAAAAAAAACAAAACTGTAGTTCAGGGGGATTCGCTAAGATCATTTGTGTGGCCATTTATCATACACAGGGAGACATTTGATAGAATACACGTGCAATACAGAGCCCAGGGTGACACTGATCAGAATGGAATGTCGCAGTAATGGGAGCTTTTCAGGTGCACTTGCTGCCTGACTGATTTTCCTGAGCAGTTCTCAGGGTTGTACATATTTCCTTATTATCTGAGAACTGTATCTCCTGTTGCAGGTGTAGCGAGCTTAGGCCTAATGCATGACAGGCTCTGGGCTCAGTCCCCAGCACTGCCTATAAGGATGGGGTAGAGACACACAGGTCTGTAATGGAATCCCACCCAGAGGCTGAAGTTGGGGAGCTGGAGCGAGGCTTCAGGATTACCTGGCCTCAGGCCACGTCAGGGTTGTACACCTGACCTATTTCAGACTTCGGTTTCCCCAAAACAACAAAAGAAAAGCTGGGTCATTCCTCCTCAAGCTGAGGCTGTGGTTCAGCGGTAGAGTCGTTGCTTCTCCGAGAATTTTGATGTGTCATTACTATGACAACATACAACGAAAAATTCCTATTACATACCTGTATCCCACCTTGAAACACAAGGTTCTTAAATTGGAAAGTTATAAGAGAGAATAATAGATAGATTAAATGCATGTAATTAAAAATGAGAGCCATACAAAATTGTAACACCACCCCAGAAAAGGAGAAGAGAAACTTGGAGACCTTCTCTTCCTATTTTGGTTAAACTATGAATAAATTCATTTTCGGGGGCGGGGCAGAGGAAACGCGTAGAAAGCACAATGCAGTCACTGCGCCAGAGCTGTGTTATCTCATGGGCACAAAAACGTTCTGGTTCCAGAAACACAATCATGTCGATCAGGAGCGGAATGCGCCTGGACATGCCTACCCTGAGAGTTCAACTCTGATGGTGCGGCACCGTGCAGAAGAACAGGCATTACAAAGAAGCTGCCAGAAGGGAGGAACCACTACAGATGAGAAGACAAAAAAAAAAAAAAATCACAGTAATTATAGCAATACAAATGAGTCCATGTTTTGCAAACAAATATTAGAGAGAGACTACAAAGTGTGAAAAGGCAGAGATATAATAAGATTTGAGAAATGGAGCATAAGATTGAAAACAGGTGTTAGACACAGAATTTCTGGTTCTGAGAACCAGAGGTAGGCAGAAGCGTGTGCCGACATTCCTGCACTCGGGAAGCTCCAGATTCCCCCGGCTGAGAAAAGACTGTCCCTGAGTGTCGCAAAGCAAGTGCTCAGCCCATGGGGACAGTGGGGGCCGGGGATGCACACAACCCCAAAGGTCACCCAGTCATCATCACTAGCTGGGTAGACTGAACAAATACACAGTATTAATTTAAGAACAAATAAGCAAGAAATACACAAGCATATGTATAGCACATACAGATATTTTTACATACACACATATACACATTATTCAATGTTTAATACATAAAGAATGCTTACACTGGCACAATAAGAGATACCCAAAATTAGATTTTTTGTTCTTGAATTAATAGCCCAACACAGTTAAGAAGGATTAATTGGGAAGTCAGTCATTATCATATCCCCCTTATCACCCCTCCCTTCTTGTTCCAGAAGGCCTGGGAACCTCACAAAGGCACAGGCCACACCCCATTGGCCGAAGAGCTTTAGAAAGAAATGTCAGATGCAGAGTGGAAACCTCTCTTTCCAAACCGAATTTAAAATATGTTGACATTCATCATGAAAGAGTTATTGAAGATCTATTTGAAAAAGAATTTGTGTGTGTGTGTGCATGTGTGTGTGTGCGTGTGTGTGTGTGTGTGTGTGTGTGTGTGTGTGTGTGTGAAGCACACCATATGCATGCAGGTGCCTGTGGAGGCTAAAAAGGGCATCAGATTCCCTGGAACTATAGTTACAGGTGGTTGTAAGTCCCTGAAATGGGTGCTGGGAACCAAACTCCAGCCCCACGAGACAGAAGTAGTGTTAATTGCTGAGTCATCTCGCTAGCCCCAAGTTTGTCTTGTCTTGAGATAATGCTGCATAAGAATGAAGATCACATAAGAAAATATGCGATATAGTAGCCTACTTGTAATGCCAGCCCTGGCTTGTGGAGTCAGGGGATCCCGGGAGCATGCTGGCTAGCTAGACTAGCTGAATAAGCAGACTTTGGGATCAACAAGCGACCTGTTTCAGTTCATAGGACCGAGAGCCATGAGGAAGACACTTGCCATTAACTTCTGACAGCCACATACTCATGCATATATGTTCATGTGCACCCTTTGCCTCAAAGGTGCATGCATAAGACACAGGCACACAAAAAAGGAACCAAAAGAGGCCATGAATTTGTTTGCCAAAGAACTAATTGAGCATAAAACAAAAATGACAGTTTCATTGATGCGGTTGCAGAAAGTACTTGATTCATGTGGAATAGTCTTCACTGTACACAACTATGTAAAACACATCAACTAGCTGTCTCTACCTAATGATATTGAAATGGAAGCATATCTTACTGTTACTGGGATCACTGTAGACAAATGCCAATATACAGTAGTCTAGGACCACTTTATGTAGACATAAAGGTCGCTCTCCTGAGAGAGCAATCTTCAGCTTGTTTGGAATGAACATGGGGTTGAGATATTCTATTTAGCCAGATGGTGTACATGTTCAACTGTTGATATATCTCAGTTTATGGACATTATTTCTTACTTCTAGTTTTGCTCATTCCCTGATGTAGGTGGGTCATCTGTCTATCTATTGCTTTCATTGGTTAATTAATAAAGAAAACTGCTTGGCCTGATAAGGCAGAATTTAGATAGGCGGAGTAGACTGAACAGAATGCTGGGAAGAAGGGAAGTGAGGCAGATGCTATAGCTTTCCTCTCCAAGATGGACGTAGGTTAAAATCCTTCCTGGTAAGCCATCACCTCGTGGTGCTACACAGATTATTAGAAATGGGTTAATCAAGATGTGAGAATTGGCCAATAAGAGGCTAGAACTAATGGGCCAAGCAGTGTTTAAAAGAATACAATTTGTGTGTTGTTATTTCGGGTATAAAGCTAGCCATGCGGGTGGCCAGGCACCGGGAATGCAGCCCACACTCCTTCTACACTTCCCATTCCAGCAGGTTTCTACTCAAAACCCATACTTTGGTCCTTGTTATCACAGGACCCCTCTCTCTCTCTGAATCTTAATCTTCAGCTTCCCATGCTGGCCACTCAGCCTCTTGGTACTGTCTCCACTCACCCTGCCCTACTGCATGTGCTCACCCACTTCTTTAAAGTCTACAGCTTAACTTTTCTGTTACATTATTTCTAAATATGTACATATTTCTTCATATCTTACCTCCAGCTTTGACTCCCTGCCCCTCATTTTTCATCCTTTCCTTTGCTACCAACTGCAGCCTTCAGAAAAGAATTCCAATCTAGATTTCTTTATGTGTGCACATTTAATGCTTCTACCTACAGTGCTCCACTTACACTATTATCAATATTGAAAACCTCATTTGGGAAAGCAATCAGCAAACCATGAGCACTTGTGCCAACACACAGTCATGCATCATGATTTCCAGGGTCGAATGGGTCTCAGAATATGCACGCAAACCAGTACCCATTCCTACTCTTCCCTGTGCCCCAGAGGACCTTGCCTTTAATCTACCCTTCTTTCTCAGGAGAAAATCA